GAACTTAATGCTGCGATAAAACAGCTCAAGTGCAAGAAGTCTTATGGCAAAGACGGTATTTATCCGGAATTTCTAATTAGAATGGGACCAAAAGCCAAGAATACCATGCTGACGCTTTACAACAAAATCTGGGAGACCAGTTTCGTACCTAACCAATGGAAAGTTGCCATGGTAATACCAGTACTAAAGAAGGGCAAAACCCTAGCAACTTTGACAACTATAGGCCTATCTCCTTCACAAGCGTGCTGGCTAAACTTATGGAAAGAATGGTTAACAGGAGGCTGACCTGGTTTCTTGAGACTAACAATATTCTTAGGATTGAACAAGCAGGTGTTAGGCCACAAAGATCAACAAATCAACAAGTAGGCACTTTCTCCCAACATATCAAAGATGCCCTTGATGCAAGAAATACCCTTACGGCTGTTGCTTCAAATCAGCATATGACTTAGTATGGAAAGAGAAGCTATTTCTAAAATTGCCAAAGATTGGTACTAAGCTTAACGTGCTAAACCGGATAAAAGCATTCATTGGACAAAGATCGTGTAAAGTCATTGAATAAAAGCATTCATTGGACAAAGATCATGTAAAGTCAGATGGCATTCATTGGACAAAGATCGTGTAAAGTCAGATACGGACCTCAATCAAAATCCAATCTTTTACAAACAGGCCGTCCACAGGTTCAAAATCCAATCTTTTACAAACAGGTCTGCGCAGGGAGCTGTCACAAGCTGCACTCTTTTCAATGTCTTATAGGATCCAATCTTTTACAAACAGGCCTTCCACAGGGAGCTGTCCCAGCCTTACAAACAGGCCTTCCACAGGGAGCTGTCACAAGCTGCATACAGGCCTTCCACAGGGAGCTGTCACAAGCTGCACTCTTTTTTCCACAGGGAGCTGTCACAACCTGCACTCTTTTCAATGTTGACAGGGAGCTGTCACAAGCTGCACTCTTTTCAATGTCTTCATCGATACCGAATTGGTACAGACAGTCACGGGCGTTAAGTGCTTACTTTCTCAGATGATCTGGTACTATGGTATTCCGCCCCTAAGGAAATCATCAAGTGCTTACTTTATGCAGATGATCTGGTACTATGGTTGCTTACTTTACGCAGATTATCTGGTACTATGGTATTCCGTCCCTAAGAAAAACGCTCAAGAGAGGGCAGAAATTTCCCTAAATTGTGCATTTAAGCTACTAGCAAACTGGTGCGACAACAACAACGTGTAAAAGTCAAAATGCTAAAATAGCAGAACGAGTCTCCAATAGACTGAATGTACTGAAGCGTCTTGCTGGTAGCGTATGGGCCTGTGCGCGCTCAACTCTCAACACCACTTACTAGATGTTTATTCAGCCAATAAAGTTGTATTGCTGTGAACCACTCATTACAGCCACAGAGGTGACTCTCAAACCACTCGAGAAGGCACACAACCAAGCATTACGACTAATTACTGGAGGGATAAAATCATCACCCATTGATGCAATGCACCAAGTTACAGGAAGCACCACAATAGGTTCTCTTATCAAAGAAAAGGCCTTGATCCTGTTGGAGAAGCTACTGAGCATTTCCATGGACAAGTTCTTCAGCACCTATGAGAATAGTCCAAGACACCTGAAAACGCAATCTGGTCTAATGCAGAAAGCCATAGAACTGAAGAAAGCATTACAAATTGATGACAAACCAAAAAGCCTCTCTCTCCCCATGAACCCATTAGCAGACTTTGATGAAGTTGACACACTTGCTAAGAAGGGGACAACGATTATGCAATGCATGGACCGGCCGATGTCTTTCCACACAATGAAGGCCTTAATCAGGAGAGAATTCCAGACCTCATGGGCAACGAAATTAAAGCTCGAACAAAGGAGAAACAGTGGACAGTGGCAATCTCCGACATACCCGACTGGCCAAGAATCGAAGCCGTTGCTGAGTTTAGACTACGTACCGGACACGATTGCTTGCCAAAACACCTTCACAGATTGGGATTATACACTCAACCCACATGACCTCTATGTAACCTACAGGAGGAAATGGATAAGACTCACCTGATTCGGTGTTTAGCCCTAAAGACAAGTACGGAAAGCCAAAGATACTAGGAAGCAAGAAGACAGCTAATGAATTGGTATTAATTAACTGCTATAAATGTACCCCACCCCCCTTCTTGGGGGGAAGCTGAAGTCAAAGATTAAGGGCTAATGATAATTAACATAAAGCCTGCCATTTGAAAGATATATCACCGAAAATTCACAGCGATTTGGCCGCCCAGACGAAGTGGATGAAACCCATATCAAGGCCATTATCGATTCAAATCGTCACAGCACAACACGAGATATTGCAGAGAAGCTGCTCAATATGTCGAATACATGCATTGAAAAAAATTAATAGCCCTTGGTTATGTCAAGAAACGTGATTTATGGATCCCTCACCAGTTAAAGGAAATTCATTTGACGCAACGGATAAGCATCTGTGATTCGGTACTGAAACGCAATGAGAATGATTCATTTCTGAAGAACCTAGTTACTGGCGACGAAAAGTGGATAGTCTGTCAACAATGTTACTCGCAAGAGATCATGGGTAAAGCAAGATCAACCAGCCCAAACAGTATCAAAAGCAGAGATTCACCAAAAAAAGATTATGCTGTCAGTCTGGTGGGATCACAAAGGAATTTTGTATTTTGAACTCATGCCGCAGAACCGAACGATAAATTCAAATGTGTATGTTGAACAACTCGAAAAACTGAAAGATGCAATTAAAGTTAAGCGGCCGACATTATCAAATCGGAAGGGTGTTGTTTTCCATCATGATAACCCAAGGCCCCACACATCTTTGCTTACTCGGCAAAAATTATTGGGAC